GGGGAAAAAACAGACTTTCTGACTTTTAGGTAGTTTTGTCTTTGGTACCGAACAAAACAACTGAATGTCAAAAATCATCACATGATTCATTGTCTGATTTTGTAGTGGCAGGTAACTAGACTATGAAGACATTAAACAAAGATATTTGCCACACAGTGGATTTTAAAAAATGAGACATGGAACCTGAAAATGTAATGAAATATTTTATTTCAGGGTGAACATTTCATTTTGGGTTGACTCATAAAGAATTTCTGGTGGTATTTTTATCTCACTGAAATGAGAAACTAAATTGAAAATGAAAAATGCCCATTTTAGTTTGACTCAAAGTGGGGTTTTCTTTCCATTTTGGGGAGGAGAAGGGGGGTGTTATTTACCACGATCTAGCTACCTTGTCTTTATTTAAAGAGACCTTCAAATAATCTATTTTGCAAGCCCCAAGGAACTGCTTGACTTGCCCTTTAAAGGGATGTGCATTTATCTACTTGTAACAGTTTAGGTGTTAGAAACAGTGAGACTATCCTCTCTTAAAAGTGTTGTTAACACATTTTAGTGATACTAGCACTGAAAACCTGTAATGTTCCTCTCATAGTTCATCCTGCAATTCTAGGGTAGAAATATCACAGTATTCAGTGAGATTAAACCATATTCAGTACTGGAAATCTCTGCTGCCTCAATTCTCAATCACTCTGTAGTTGGAATGTTCCATATAACTAATGAGTTGACTCTTTAGATTATAAGGATTAGCAGTCTGATTTTCACTTTTGGCCTCAGGATTCAGGAGTATTTCTACACATTTCTTATTTTATAAAATGTTGGAGTGATGTTGTAACCATGATGGTCCAGAAAAGATGTTAGAGTCAATGATTTGGCGGGGGGGTGATACCTTTTATTCAATCAACTGTATAGTTGGAGGAGAGTTTAGGCAAGCTTCTGGGCCAGAAAGCTTATTTTAAGATCTCTCTCCCAATTACTCAGTTGGTCCAATAAAAAATATCTCCTGAAAAAATCCATCTCCCTTATTTTATATATTTATTGCAGATGCATAGGTAATTAAATAATTAGCCATTAAAATGCCTTGCAAAGTACCTGCAATTATTATTTGTACTCACAGGCATAACATATGATTGCAAAACTAGAGGCTAGGACTGCTCTGAAAATCAGGGGGTTATTTGCTGAAGTACTGTGGTGAAGCTATATGGCAAGTCCACTAAGTTATCCAAAGTGCAGATGCAGGCATAAATCCATAACAGATAAACAACTGAAAATTTTGCCCAGAGGAGTGGAAAATATCCCAACTGACAATATACTGTGTTTAGCAAACACGTTATGTCTGATATTGTTTCAGATATATGTCACAATGTTGCCTGGTGAAATGTATTAATCGAATACTGCAATATTTGTTCAAATACTCTTTGTTTTCCCCCCAGAAAGTGGAGGCAGAAGTTTGTATCTTAGAAACACTGGTATATGTATCTACAGATAAAAAGATACTGTGGCAAAGCACTTTCAATGTGGTTAATCAATGTATGGCTCTATGCCTCTTCCCTTAAAGGGAAATAATCCTTTACAAAGTGATTTCAGAACTACTTATGAAAAGTACTTAATTAGAGGTTGTTGTTATATTTGCTGTTTGCATAGAAAAATGCACCTTAAGAGTGAGTATGTTTTGTGGAAACAGTCAAGGTTCTTTGGGTAAATCTGATATCTGTTATTAGACCAACTCAAATAGTTGGAGAAATTCTTCTTTGCAAGCTTTCGGGTATAAATATCCTTCATCAGGCTGAGGAAGCATCTGCAGTTGGTGTGTGCTCTTCCTGGATGGAATGAATAGTAAAGAAGCCAGAGGCTGGTATGCATGCAAGAATTGTTTACAGAATTGCTCCAGATAGTAGATAACCTTTGAACCAGGTTGCAAAAAAAACAATTAAAATTGATCTGTGTAAGCAGCACAAGCAATACAGTACAATTCAAAGAATGTATCATAATGGCCAGGTACAGATATTACACTTTTGCCAGTACAAATTATCAGAAACCAGTCTATATCTGTAACAGAACAGAAGTTCAGCACACATAGACCGGTTTAAAAATGGTTGAACCCAGTCTAAGATTCTGGTCCCTACCAATCTAAACTACACCACTTATAGAAAGCCACATAACTTATACCAATTCAGTCTCAGGCTTTTTGAATCTCTGTACCTAGCTAATGAGTATACAGGTTTACTGAACTTGATTTGCACAGGTTACCTGAAAATTCAGGATGAGACAACAATTGCTGTCAAGAATTCTGATACTTAAAGTTTGACAAAGTTATAACTGAAATAGAAATGTTGTCTTAAGATTGCCCATTACTTCCCAGTAGGCCTGCACGAGTAGGCAGCTATTCAGTCCAGCTTCAGATCTGGCCACTTCAGATGCCAGGGATCCAATCCAGAGCTCTGGACTGGGTTCCTGCTTCTATCAGGCTGAAGCAGCTCCGAAGCTTCAGAGCCGCCTTGGAGATCCAGCCATAGGGTATAATGGGGAATCGATGAAATATCTATAACTTTGTTATTTTTTGTCTGATTTGGATGGAACATGTAGGAGTAGTAGCCTCTGTTGAGAGCATGAAGCTGAGCAACTTTTAAGAAGATAGGTGCAGGGGTTTGGGGGGAACTGTACCCCAAATTCTTGAAAGCAAAACTCATGTCACATGTATGTGTTATACCACAGGGGGGTGAAAACTGCAGGGGTGATGGCCCCTGCTGAGGCCACAAAGCCTGCCAAGTTTCAAGGTGATAAGTGCAGGGGTTTGGGGGGAACTGCACCTCAAGCTGCTGACAGGCAAAACTTGTGACATAGATGACACTGCATGTGTTAAGGTGAAGTGGGCTGAAAACTGCAGGGGTGGTGGCCCCTGCTGAGTTCACAAAGTCTACCAAGTTTCAAGAAGATAATAGCAGAGGTTTGGGGGGAACTGCACCTCAAACTGCGGATAAGCAAAACTCGTGACATGGGTGACACTGTATGTTAAGGCACAGCAGGATGAAAGCTGCAGGGATGGTGGCCCCTGCTGTGGCCACGAAGCCTGCCAGCTGTCAAGGAGATAGGTACAGGGGCTTCTCGGTTCTGGGGCCCTGCATCTCTAGCTGCTGACAGTCAAAACTCATGGGTGCTTGTGCAACTGTGTCTGTCTTGGGGCACGGAGGTAGGGGGGCTACTGCAGGCCTGGCTGCTAAGCTACTGTGTTACCAGTTACCAATTAATCATGATTCACTCAGAGACCAGCTCAATACACAGTACCTAGCTACTACATAACGAGTTAATGAGCATGGATTAACACCTACACAACCACAGACTAAGGAGAGGAAATAATCAATAGAGGCAATCAACTGCCCCAACACAGACAGTCAGTTGCACAAGCACCCATGTCACAAGTTTTGTCTGTCAGCAGCTATGGGGGCAGGGCCCCAGAACCCCTGCACCTATCTGCTTGACAGCTGGCAGGCTTCATGGCTGCAGCAGGGGCTAGTCAGCCTGCAGTTTTCACCCCGCTGTGCCTTAACACACACAGTGTCACCCATGTCACGAGTTTTGCCTGTCAGCAGCCAGAGGTGCAGGGCCCCAGAAGCCATATTCCCCCTGAACCTATCTCCTTGACAGCTGGCAGGCTTTGTGGCCTGAGAAGGGGCCACCACCCCTGCAGTTTTCAGCCCGCTGCGCCTTAACACACACAGGGTCATCTATGTCACGAGTTTGCTTATCAGCAGCTTGAGGTGCAGTTCCCCCCAAACCCCTGCACTGATCTTCTTGAAACTCGGCAGGCTTTGTGACCTCATTAGGAGCTACCACCTCTGCAGTTTTCACCCCCCTGTGGTATAACACATACAAGTGACATGAGTTTTGCTGTCAAGAATTTGGGGTGCAGTTCCCTCCAAACCCCTGCACCGATCTTCTTGAAACTTGGCAGGCTTCATACTCTCAGCAGAAGCTGCCATCTGTGCAAGTTACATCCAAATCAGACAAAAAATAACAAAGTTTTAGATATTCCATTATACCCTATGGCCAGATCTCCAAGGCGGCTCTGAAGCTTTTCCGAAGCGGGTCAGAAGCTCCAAACCACTTCAGAAAGCCTAACAAAGCCAGCACTTCGATCTGGACATGTTGGTTTGGATGCTGAAACATCCGAAGCTTCTCTGGATCCGAAGCACAGTCCGAAGCCTCGCACAGCCCTACTTCCCAGCATAGAGTTGTTAGTATCTGTTCTGCATACATGCCTGCAGCCAGCAGACAGTACTTCAAACCTAACCAGACTAGTTCACCTTTCTCACACACACACACACACACACACACACACACACACAATAATGTCTCACATTTTATGCTGAGAAATGGTGGCTGTGCTAATAAGTTCCCTAGCTGAGGAGGGCAAGGTGGCAGCTCTACACATTTTTGCTTTATGCTTAATTCTTACATTTCTTGCCAAACAAAGACTTTCTACACTTGCCTTTTACCATGAGTTGGAAGCTAAAATAACACCTAAAACCAGGGAAGAGAATGTAAGAATGATCACCAGCCAATGAAATTATTGAATATGTGCCATCTGAAACTAAACAGGGAGTGGAGGTTGCCACTAGTGGGTATCTATTATTGACCACTGCTTGTTCAACTCCTTTTTTCTGGTCTAAGGGCCCAGAAATGTATCTGTATGCCTAAAGCCATTGATATAAAAGGCGTTAGGGCATAAAGGCCAAGGTGCAGTGGCTAAATGGAAAAAAATGATAGCCTTATTTCATGATTAAATGCAGAAGATAATAATAATATTGTAGGAGTTTGAGTTTCAGCAGTTAAGTTTGTCTCCTATTATGATAGTCAATATGAATAATACTACAAATGTGTCTCATGTTATTATTTAGGAGAAGGCTGTTCTGTGACCAAACATGCTAATATAGAAAAAAAATTAAAAAGAAGGCTTCTGCCTGGAATAGCATATATTAAAAATACATGTTACTTTCTTTTTTCAGGTAGTAAAAATGATGATTGTTGTCGTGTTGACATTTGCAGTCTGTTGGCTGCCCTATCACATTTACTTCATCATTACTGGGATCTACCAACAGTTAAATCGTTGGAAATACATTCAGCAAATCTACCTAGCCAGCTTCTGGCTTGCCATGAGCTCCACAATGTATAACCCTATTATCTACTGTTGTCTTAATAAGAGGTAAGAGTGAATTATTAATTGCATGTATCTTAGAATATAAATGCTTTGAGTGTGAAAAGGCAAATAATGTTAACTTTAATACAAGGATTTTTAATGAAAAAGAGGGGGAGGGGGAATCATGTGAGGTAAAAGCTTCCTTTAGGTTTCTATTCAGTGCTCATACCAAAGAGCCAAATGTATTTTTGAACATAGTGAACACAGTGACTTTCCTAAATCTGAGGAAGTGCCCTCCCAATATGAAAGCAACATCTAGCCTTGGGATCCCAGCCTGACCAGGTTCTACATGCAGAATTCCTGATACCATCAGGGAAAGTTGCACTTGAGGGTCTACACATGAGGGCCCTAATTGTGTAATATAAACTAAATGTAAGTTAAGGCTTCTGTCTGTCCCGTATGCTGCAATGTGTGGGTTGAATGATTAGTCAGTGCTACTAAGCTATAGCATAATTTTATGATGCTAGCTGGATGTAACTTAAGACAATTCTCTCCCAGGAGTGTTTTACTTCCTATTGTGATATTTCTATTATACTCAGAGACCTATAACAAGCTAATAAAATGGTTGTTTACATCCTTACTATTCTTTATGAAATCCTATCTAGTCTGGAGATCTAGTCTGAACACTCAAACAAACTTCTCCATCCTGCCTCACAAAGACATAACACTTGCAACTAACTTCATCTGGATTTTGTGGGTGCTAAAATGAGCTTTAAAAAAATCAGGCCACTGGATTGTTTTGGGGGACTCTGTCTGTCCATATTTTCATACTCTGATGGTGCTATATGATCCAATTAAAGGAAGTCTTATGCTCATGCAGTCACTCCCAGGGCTAAGAATTTCTATAAAGTGAAAAGGAGGGAATTTCCCCCCTGGCTAAACCCATCCCCAGTGCCCCAGAAACTACTGGAGTTCTGCTGCAGGATGGTTCTGGCTGTGGAAGAATCCTTCCACCCCCCACCATGGACAGTTTGGGGATCAGTTGCAACTATGCACAGGGCAGCAGGGAGATGCACCTGCAGCTAGAACTATCCTGCACCCACAGAACAGTTCTAGCTGCTGGAGAGTGCCCCTGAGTCCAGGCACAACTTCAGGGTGACCCAAAAGGGTGCACAGGGCAGAGAGGCACACGTGCCTCTGGCTGCAACTGTACCAAATGGTTCCAACCATGGGAGAATGCTCCCCACCTGGTCCTGCCAATCCACTGATTGGCAGGACAGGTTGAGGGTGCATTCTCCCTGGTTTTGTACTGCCCTGTAGCCCCAGGATAGTTCCATACATGGGAGAATGGCCTCTGCTTCATGCTTAGCTCCAGGGTGACCTGGAGGGGTGTATGAGGCACAAAACAAGTGCGCACAGGGCTGGAACTACCCAGAGTCCTGAGACAGTTCCAGCCCTGGGGAGATGTCCATCCATTCGTGCCCCCCCCCCAGCCAATCTGCTGCTTGGCCCCAATTTGATCTGTCTTGTGGAAACCAAGTGTGAATTAAGCCACAGGGGTGGCCCATGTCTGTTCACTGATAGGGGGTGGAGAGGGGGGGGGGGGGGGGGCACTAGCACTGCTGCCTGGCCAGTCCAGGAACTCCAACCCTGGACTTTTCAAGCAGTGGCAGCAGGGTCTTCACAGGGCTCTTGGAGGCCAGGTACAGCAGTTACACTTATTGTGTGGTAGGTTTCAGAAAGCACTCTGCAACTGTAACAGAACAGATGATCAAGGCACATAGAGCACTGTAAAAATGGCAGATCCCAGCCTAAGATAACCCTGGATAGATGTGGTATCAGACTTCAGCACTGCAGGTTAGAGCGCCATAACATACATCTGTACCAGATCCCATCAAGACGCATGGTAGGTCACATTCTGCCAGCAACCCATGGGGTTTTGTAGCTCCCTGTTCACCGTCCTCCCCCACAGAGTGGCACTCTTGCGTATTGCCATGGGTTCAAGTGAACAAGTGCTGAATATGGGTCAGCTGCTATTTTGCATCTGCTTACAGTTGGGGAGGGAGAAGGGAAGGGGAATGGTGTCCAGGCAGCCTAAGTTGTGGGCACTGGTACCCATGACTCAGGGCCAGAGGAGCCCATGGCCCAGAACCAGGGTGTGGGCACTTGAAGCCCTCTGGCCCTACTTATCTGGGGAGAGGTCCTGGTCCACACAGGTGAACAAGCATTTGGCCAGGGCTTCACAGATCTGGACAGTCTACCACAAGTACAGGGCTGGGGCCCCACACATTAGCAGTGGGCTTGCCCTCTCCATCATCCCTGCATGGCATATGCTCACATGTGCCAGGCCTGGTCCATAGTTGAAGTGCTCCTTCTGGAAGCCCAGATGCCCCACATAGGTCCTCACAGGCCAGGGCTGGAGCAGGTAGGCTGGGCACCTGATGAGGACTGGGGGGTGGGGAGGCAATGACATCAGTGATGATGAAATTGGGGACCCTGGGTGCATAGCACCCACTTTCCATTACTCCAGGGAAGGAGGAATTGCACAAGACCCAGACATTGTCCTCATCACCTAGGTGAAAGTTGGTGGCCCAGTTGTGCCCTAAAAGCCTGGGTTCTTTCTGTGCATCCTGGGTAGCCATGCACCCTCTTGGGAGGTGAAAGGGAGAACAGAGGACTCTAGACTTCTGGTGGTTTTTACCACCTCAGAAAAGTGTACAGCTATTCAAGTTAAGGGAAA